AGGCAGAAGGAGAGAGAGAATCTTAAGTAGGCTCCGCAGCCAGCAGGGAGCCCGACGTGGGACTTGATCTCACGGCCCTGAGATCATGACCTGAGCTGAAATCAAGATACACAACCGACTGAATGACCCAGGCGCCCTAGTCCTGGCTGATTTTGCAACTCCCATCAGATCTCATAGCATATGCGGGGCTGCCAAGATTGCGAGGCGGCATGGGAGGGTGAAATGGTTTTATTTTCAGAGACAAAATGTTAATTTAAGTCCTTGCTCTGCTCTTATTAATGGCGTGAACTTAAAAGCACACTAAGCCGCGCTGTTTTCAACACTGATATGTGGATAATACATTCTCAGAATCCAGGGCTTTGTCCATGCTGAAATGCCATGCAGATACGAGATGCTGCTATCCATTCATTCGTTCTGAAGATCTTTCTTTAGTGCCAGCACTGGGCTGGAACCTTCAGGGAGGTTATGCTTTCTTAGGGAAGACAGACAATGAATAACCAAATAATTGTATGGTATAGTGTCCCTTTGGGAAAAATCGAGGAAGAAGAAACAAGTCAGCACAGGAGGATAAAGAAGAGACGGACCAATGTGACGGGCTGGTTGGGGGGTGTCCTCTCAGGCAGTGACGATGTGTGAACAGAGGCCAGAATGAAGTGAGGAAGTGAGCGGTGAGAATATCAGGAGAACTACTTTCCAGGAAGCATGAGGGAAGACCCACGAATAGGATCTGTGCTCGCAGGAGTGTGGCACGTGTGCTGGTTCCAGAACTTACTGAACACTTACGTGCTGGCACTTTGATTTAGTACTCACCACGCTTGGTGAGCTCCTCTCCTAGGTCCGGCTGTACACGAAGAAACCGAGCCTCCAAGAAGTTAAAGGACTTGGCTCCACCTTTCACACCTGGTAAATGGCCAACCTGAGATTCCAACGGGGGCCCCAGAGCCTGAGTGGTTCGCCAAGACTGGGGCCCGCCAGCAGGGGGCAGTGCGGTGGGAGTCCCTACAGCATTGGCCCCGGGGCAGGGTTGGGACAGGAAATGACAAGGCAGGACCCAGTAGAGCTTTAAAATATTTGGCTGAATACCTAAATGGTGCTGGTTATCTTTTCCTTTTGTGTGAAAACCGCCTTTTGGCCCTTGTGAAGGTGTTTATGTGGGGTCGGGATTGGATGAGCTTATTCAGTGGGGTAATATTCCAGATGTCTCAGTGATTGCCCAAGTAATTAAAACATTTTTGCAAATAACGTGGGTCCTTAATTGTATGGATTCGAACATTACCTTTCTATCCTCGAAGACCTGCTAGCCGCTTCTATTATGCAATATGTTCCTCGCTGGCTTCTCTCAACAGCCACGGGCTCAACCCATGTTTTTGTTTTGTTTTTCTCTTTTTCCTTACTCAGCTACCAATAGAAAAAAAAAAAAAGCCACCATTTGGGGCCCGTGGAAATTAAAAGTAAACATAGTTTTATCTATAATATAAACGTTTTGCTTTAAAGAAAAAGTCTTGCATTGAGAAACATTGAATGAGATCATCACACTTGTCCTTCTAAATACCAGCCAGAAAGAAACAACAAACTTTACTTTGTCTTGTGCTGTCATTCTTCAGAATTAATTGATAGCTCTTAAATTTCACATCGCAAGTGCCACTTTTCTTTTGTTCCTGTTTTGGTGTTGTGTCTCTCTCCTCCCGAATATATGAACGTAACAAGAAGTAAGAACTGACAAGGAAGCCAAAGTGTTTTCGTGAAGATGCATGGAACGTTTAGGACTAAGAAGGGGAAAGGACTGAGCAGGATCAGGGCGCATGGCAAGTCCTTTAAGAAAACACCTGTTTCAGATTACAGATTTCTTAATGAGACACACGCAACTCTTGAGTTTAAACATAACACTCCCAGTTCAGTCAACCACCCACGGCCATTCTCCAGGTGTTTGAGATTATGTAATGTCCTGAAAAATCATCTGGATTGTGTCAACTCAGAGTACTGCTTGGGTTTAAAAAAAAAAAAAATTCGCTGCAGGCATTAATTTATACTTAAAGTCTCAGTGTAGCATTTATAGCACTTGAGAAAAATAAATAAATAAAATAAAAGTCATAAATAAGGGGTCATTGGTTTCTGATCTTTTTCCCTCCCAATGGCTAAAAGTATGGGGTTTTTGCTTTAAGTAGTAAAAGGCAGGCATTATGAACTCTGTAAAGCTTCATTGACCAGACTTCTCTAATTCAGATTTTATAGTATTTAGGATGGTGTTTACTCTTGTATTCCCAGAGAAAAGAGGACATCCACACTGAGAAAGTAGAGGAAAAGTGGAGATAACTATCTTCTGTCTTTTAGAAACAGCGTTGACATTGCTTTCTAAAATAAAACTTGCAACACACACACACACGCACGCAAACCTCTTTTGGTGTCTGCGTAAATTTTCATCTTTAAATGAGTCATGCTCACCACAATTTACTTTTTCAAGTTGACATATTTTTAGATGATTAACAACTTGAAAGTCCCTAGGCTTGGGTAATTGAAAAAACTTTGGGGATGGAAGGAATACGATTTGAAAGAGACTCCTTTTAGAACCCAAAGCTTCAGCCCAAACAGAATGAAAATTGCCTTTATTATGCAGTTATTTTAATTAAAAATGCATGCGTAACAGGAAAAGGAAAGCAATTCTAGACACTGCTCCTTCTAGTTTGACTGGTTGTTTGAGATTTGGAAGCTTTTTATTTGTCCTCTTCCATTTTTAAGCTTTGCATGAGGTCCTAAGTGCTTCATTCCTATTTTGGCCTCTATACTAATTCTAGGTTTTTTCTGTCTAGCAACGTCTTAAAGTCAGAGCTAACTACTTTTGTCCTCTCACATAGTATGGCGCTATGCTTCCAATTCTTTGTATTTTCCCTTCTGTCTCACAGCCTTCCTGGCCAGTCCCTGTTCACCTAAAGAGGGAACAAATATTCACCAGCATCTCTGCAGAGTAAAGCATATCACTTCTTTTCATTCGCTGATTAGTGGTAGCATCTTTTTATTTTCGCAAGATACAAAAGTTGTTTCCGTTGTAAAAAAGTAAACTACTCCTTGCAGAAGACCCAAACTATCAGAAAAGCGGAAAGAGGATATAATAAAATGTACTTGCAATTCCACCCTCTAGAGAAGACCACTGTCCACATTTTGGTGTGTCCGTCCGGGCATCTCCACGCACACCGTAACATGACAAGATACAATCTTTTAAAATGAACCCATTTAAACTCATCACTGTATGTGACCTCTTTAAATAAAATTGCTGTTCAGTAACCTGCTTTTTTTGATTAAATAGTATTTCATTTTTCCGTGTCAGTGAATCGAGATCTACGTCACTTTTTAACAGGTGCGTAATATTTTCTTGTATGGCTGTACCATAATTAGGTGAGTGTACCGTAGTAGACCCATCATCCGGATTGTTCCTGTCTTTTTGCTATCATAATAGACACCGCAAAGATAGGTTTGTGCTGACATTTTGTATTCTTGTTGTCTCCATAGATTTAGATCTCAGAAGTGTGTTTTTAACGTTTAAATCTTCTATGCATTTGGAACACGTTTCCGTATATAGTGGGGGCTTACTCTCTTTACTCATACGGTCGGCCAGTTGTGTTCCAATACCGTTTATCGGAAAATGCATCCTTGCCATTAGTATAGCAAGTTCCATTTTACCGTGTATCTCAGTCAAGTTGACACAGGAAATTAACCATCCCAACCTAGAGCCTCCAATTTCCATAGCTGTCTGCCTGTCACCTGCTGGGATAAAGGTTGCTGCTGAGACCATTCTGTACAGAGTGTACCTCAGTGTCATTGTTTGGCAGGATGACACATGGAGGGTCCTCATGTCAGCCAGCCCTGATTTCTCCTGCCATAAATGCTCTATATAAGTCTTTGGTTTCAGGAACTGGCATCCAATAAAGTTGGCTCAGGAAGAAGGTGGTTTAGTATAAGGCTACAATATAAGATTTCAACAGCTTGACAGTAGGCAGGTCTTTAATTGTCCTACGGTTGGGGTATGAGAAGGCAGAGTAAATGATGGCCTGTTTTCCCAGCATGAATTCTGAGCCAGTTGAGAAGATGAAAGAGTAAGAAAGATGGCAGACACGAAAAAATACCTTATTTCTGATGAAGCTGATATTGGAGAATGTGACTTCTATCTGCATGTAGCTGAGCTTCCAAATACCGTATGTGGGCGAAACTTAGGCAGACTTTATTCAGATTTCACCGGCTGTGCTGGACCTGTGAAGGCCACGGCCATGGGGGCTGGCCCCTCCCAGACGGACTGGCTTTCTGTGGGCAGGCTGATTACCTAAAAGGAAGGGGAGAACCAGGGGTTTGTCACTTGAAATGTGGCTAGTGTAACTGAGGGGTTGAATTTTTAATTTTGTTCCACTTTAATTAAACTTAAATAGCTACACGCGGCTAGTGGCTACTCTCTCGGACAGCACAGAATTTCTTTCCATTCTTAGATTTAGTATGGACATGCCCCTGGAAAAGTTGGCTTTAATTTATATGAATTCATTTGATGTTTCACTTGGGTTTATCGAGCACCTAAGTGAGTTTGTATGCCTGGTGTTGGAAATACATTGCCTTTGGATTTCTCAAGTCAGCTTTTAGGGGAAGGTGTGGAGACCTGAAATCTGTCGTCCCACACACCTGGCTGAACATGGCCTTGGTAACATGGCCCAGCTGTTTCAAAGGGAGCCTCCTCTTTCACCCTGAGCTCTAGGACCCATCATGGTAGGCTGAGGGGACGAGTGGGGGCTTCTGTCACCTGGCTGTGAGCTCTGGCATGCTCAGGGCTGCATCTACATGGAAGAGGGGCCTCCTGTTTGGAATTCTCTCAGAGACATTGTATGGACTAGCATGGTCCTTTCACTAGAGATTCATTCTCTCAGTTTGTGCTACTGTCCTGGTCACCCCTGACACTTCCCTCAGCACATTTTCTGTGGAAGAAGTGAACAGTTCTTCATAGCTGCCAAACACCAACTTTTTCTTCTGCTTGTTTTGTCAAAGGTATCTTACCTCCTGGAGGGCGGCAGCATGGCCCATGAAGACTTCTGTGGACATGTTGGTCAGATGAACCCAGGAGACCTGCAGGTATGGCCGAAGACAAGCAATTGCTGATGGTTTAATAGCCTTTGGGTGTGCATGCTTGCTCTCACCCAGTTCCAGTACATTCACACTTTCCTCCTTCTCTCTCTTAAACTTTTGACCTCTTCCTTTTTGTGGATCCTTCCATTCAGCCTAGAAACCTGCACTGGTTTCTTGTATTCACTCAAGCTTTCCTTGACCCCCTCAGTCACTTTTTAGTTCCCAACTAGTCTTTCTCTTACATTTCTCAAAAGCATAATCAAGGATGATGGTCTTAACTTACTCATCTTCCATTTCATGCTTCACTCACAGAAATCAGGGTTGGCCTCTCTCAACATCCACCCAAACCTCTAGGTTTGCTCAGGCAGTGGTCACTCATGATGTCCCCATGGCCAAACTCAGTGTACCACTTTCTGTCCTCATCTTTCTAGACCTTTCTACTGCATTTGTGACAATTTTTTCTTTTTTTAAAAAAGGTTTTATTTATTTATTTGAGAGAGAGAGTGAGGGCAGGAGGAGGGGCAGAGAGAGATTCCCAAGCAGACTCGGAGCTGAGCGTGGAGCCTGATGCAGGGCTCGGTCCCACCACCCTGCGATCACAACCTGAGACGAAAGCAAGAGTCAGATGATTAACTGACTGAGCCACCCAGGCATCCCGCGACAATTTACTCTTTGTCTTCCAACTTGTTTGCAGGGGTAAGTGTTGTCACTTAAGACCATGATCCAAATCTTGCCACCGTCCTAGGCTTGTTGGAGACACGTTAGAATTAGAAGCCCCAGCAACTCTTGGGTATTCTTTGCTGGGTTTGTAAGTCTGAACTCAATGTCAAGAACTTTCTGGGATTATTTACATATTGTGTGGAATTTTAACTGCAAATATTTGAATTGTGTTTCAATGAACATGAAATTGAAAGCATTTTCATGTGAATAATCTCTCTAAAGTAAGTATTCTTTTTACCTCATTTTTAAAATGAGAGAATAGGAGTGCCTGGGTGTGGCTCAGTCGGTTAAGTGTCTGCCTTCGGCTCAGGTCATGATCCCAGGGTCCTGGGATCAAGCCTGCGTCGGGCTCCCTGCTCAGCAGCGAGTCTTCTTCTTCCTCTGTGATCCCTCTCACTCTCTGTGAAATAAATGAATAAAATCTTTAAAAAAAATGAGAGAATGGGGATTTAAAGATGTTGAAAAAAGACGTCCACGGCCTCAGAGCTTGTAAATAGCGAGGTGGAAAAGAGAAATCTGCTCTCCCCCTCCAAATCTAATCGGTGGGCTGTACATATTAAGAAAGTTCCTGCCAAACTAGGTTATATCTAAAAAAGGATAAACAAGGTATGAAAAGTAGATTGAAAATATGGAGAGATAAACTGAACAAAACAGAAAAACACACGGGAGGCCAAGTCTCTGAGGAGCCCCAATAGCTGCCATCAGATGGAAGAAGCGCAGCGTGGGGCAGTGCTGAGATCTCCTTCGTGTTGTGTTAGAGCTGTGGTCAGCGAATGTTTTCTGTAAGAAGTGGATAGCACCTATTTTAGGCTTTGTGGGTCATATAGTCCCATATGTGGCAACCACTCTGTCCTACCTTCGCAGCATGCGAGCAGACAGACAGCGTGTCACTGAACGGGCGCGTCTGTGTGTCAGTAACACGTACAGAATCAAGTGGCAGGCTGGATTTGGCCCCTGGGCTGTCATTAGCAGACCCCTGTACTAGAAGGTGTCATCAGTCTGGTCAAATGGAAGATGGAAATCTATTTAGATTTAGTGACAGAAAGAAAACTAAACTATGTAGTGGCCTTCTTTCAGATCTGGGAACGGATATTGCCCATTCTGGTCTTAGAGTCTTTTCACCTGCTGTTCCCTTTGTATGGACTCCCTTCCTCTCGCCCTTCCCGGGTTACTTCTTACTCCTTGTCTGGGTCCCAGCCTGAAAGTTCCGCCCTCAGGTAAGCTGTTCCATTTCCTGCGCTCTCACAGAAGCCCGTGGTGCCCGCTCCCCCGCCAGCGCCAAGTACAATCATATGCCAATTGATTGTCTCATTGTTTAAGGATTTTCTCCGCACGAGGGCCGGCTGGAGGATGCTGTTGGTGGCCTGCCTCTTGGCCCTCTGCCCCACCCCCGAGTCCAGGTGGCAGCAGTCCCCGTGTGTGTGCGCGCGCATGCGCGGCTGTCCATCTCACGCGCAGCTACTCTGCCCGAGGGCGCTCTCAGCTTCCGGATGTGCTCGGGATTGGACACCCCCAGAAGAAGTCTTGTCAGAGAGGGATGGGAGTTGGCTACCCATCTGTGAGCCCCGGGGGCCCACAGATGGCCCCTGCTCATCCCCACCCCTTTTTGGCTTTCTCCCTTGCCGAGCTTGCTTTTTCCTTCTTCACTTGTGCTTTCTATAGCACGTCCCAAAGAAATACTTGCCCTTCACTCCTAGTCTCGGGATTTCTGTGTCAGAAGCCAAGCTAGGACAGGCGGGGAACCTGTCTGCCATGTTCCATCCCTAGGTCCCGAGGTTAGTGTCTGGGGCTGGCCCCTGATAACGCTCTCGATAAAGACATAAACAGATGCTTGCAGAATGTGCACACCGGTGGAGGCAATTACTGCTCCAGGTAGTGAGGGCTCCATTAGCGGAACCGAGCAAGCACAGACAAGTCCCCTGTGCACGGGGCAGTGGATGCCACGGGCCCCCGCGCGGATCTGTAGGCGGAGGCCCATGGCCTCCAGCTGCGCCAATACGGCCTAGCGCCGGCTCTCAGCTGCGTCCTATCCTGGGCCCCGCGCTCTGCAGCAGGCGCGGTCTCTGCCCGCTTGTGCTCCCACGGCTGTGCTCCCCGCTGCGGCTTGGGTCCCGGTTAATGGTGTGCCCATGTGGGGATAGGAAAGCTCGGCTACCTCGTCTCAATTTGGGACAATTCGGAAGGTTCAGCCAACACTGGAGCTCCGTGTTGGACCGGCCGAGGCGTCCGTTGTAACTGCGCTGCGCCTTGGCTTCTCCCCCAGCCGGGTCATGTGCTTTTCACGTAAGGTGTAGCTCCTGAGAGTGGTTCCCGGCATACTGTCCCCCTGCAGCTCCCCGTCTCAGAGCTCAATCTAAGACTCGGGGCGCCCAAGCGAAGAGCCTTCCATTTGTGTGACTTTCAGATCTGATGCTTTGAATTCAAATGAGGAAGCTTGCAGAGCTTTTGGAATCCTGGAAATGGCTTCAGCAGTTGTCATTGTTGCTTTGTTATTCCTCACCACCCTGAAAGCAGCGCTTGTAAGGGCCCTGGCTTAGTCCCCATGACACAGTTGCCCCACCTGCAGACTTGTTAGAGGCTGGGTTACATTTCCTTCTTGTTGGTCCGCTGTTTGCAGTGGATGACCGCAGGCCGGGGCATTCTGCACGCCGAGATGCCTTGCTCAGAAGAGCCAGCCCATGGCCTCCAACTGTGGGTTAATTTGCGAAGCTCAGAGAAGATGGTGGAGCCTCAGTACCAGGAGGTGAAGAGTAAAGAAATCCCCAAACCCAGTAAGGATGGTGTGACGGTTGCCGTCATTTCTGGAGAAGCCCTGGGAATAAAGGTGAGCTGCGCTGTTACGGGTCTGTGAAAGCCAAGGTGTGCGGTCACGTGAGGCTGGCCCCATCGGGGTCTCCGGGTCTCGCTGGGTGGATCACAGTTCACATCCCACGGGGTGGACTTGATTCAGAGGTGTCAGAAGAAGTGGAACCCAAAGGAACCCAGACCTTTTTTGCCACGTGCAAACCCATAGAGTTAGGGAAATTTCAAGAAAGCAAGCTCGTATAAAAAATGTGGTCAAAAGCAATTTTCAAGGTCTAAGGATGTGTGCGAATTATAGCCTCTCACTTATTGTACAGTTTTATAGCTCCTTGGTACTGCACGTTTGTGACCTTTAAGAGACAAATAACCCAAACCAGCTCCACTCTCTGAAGATTTATTTAACTCATTTAAGTCCAGCTTAGTAAGGAAAGCACACTACTATATCATAGAAAGGGTTTTTTTTTTTTAATTAACTTGAACATTGATTTAACCCACACATGCCATGCCCTGTACATTCTTCTCAGCTGAGACTTTATAATATTTAGGATTAGGGTCCCACCTTTTTGATCAAATAAGACCAATTGAGGCTAAAGATTATAGACATATTTGTGGTAGGAGAAGGGTGTGGCTCAAGTCCCTTGTTCATTAACTGCCACTGGGTTGGCCAGATGATTCGTGCTAATGAAGTGGCACGGTAGTGAGCCGGGTTGTGTAGTCTCTTAGGGGGCGTTTCCCAGAGGCAGACCCTGAGCTGGGAATTCCTGTGATTGTAAAGGAAGTGCCCCTAGAGAACAGGAGGAGGAACCAGGGCAGGAAAGGGAAGGGAAGGGAGCCAAGCAAGGGTGTCCTCTCAAGCAAAGTTGCAAAGAGGACAGGGACTCCAAAAGGTTCAGTCTGCCTTCAGGTTGTCCTGACCCACCCCGGGCAAGGGAGCTGGGCTTTCCTGTTCTCTTCCTCGAAGTCATTACCTAATGGCCGTTGAGTTTGGGCTGGGGGCACGGAAATGGTTACAAGGGTTCCTCGGGGATCTGGAGGGCTGTATCCACGGTTTCACAAATGCCACCTGGGGCGGAGAGCATCAACATATTGGGAACCACTCTGCCATTCTCCCTGTGGGCGGTCAGCACCTAAAACTATTTTAAACACTCATTTTTGTAAACTTAAATGTCACTTATATGCACTGACAGGGATAATGGCTTGGCAGTGGCTACTAGCCAACCACTCAGTGGGATATGTATCATGGTTAACAGGTTGGTCAGGATTATTGGTTGGGACTTACCAGTGTGTATTTATATCTCCTGTTTTGCTGAATGTTGGGTAGTGCCCTTTTCAAATGTATGGCAAATGTGTCCTGCCTTTCAGCTCCACAGAGCAGGATTCAGATCCTGCGGCGTCTTCCTGGTACAAGGCGAAGGACATTGCCGTGTATAGGAAGGATCAGGCAGGGAGGCCTAAGGAGAGCTGAATTCGTGCAGAAGCTAAGCGGCTCATTCTGTTTCCTGGGCTATTTTTCATTCTGGGTTTCCAGAACTCTGGGGTTCTAGGGACCTCCCTTCAGGGGATACTGATCGTGGAGGTCAAGAGATTTTCCCCTCTTCACTCCCAACCAAAGCACAAGGCTTTGCCCAGTCATGTATATTGGAATGGTCGTTAAGATTTCATTTAGAAAAAAAGCTATCTGCAGCTAAAAAGAGAAATGAGACCATGGATTTAACAGATAAGCAAAGCCATTATTATCACGAATCTTTAGAGTTCACAACTGCTTCTCATTTATAGACAACACGATGCAGTTTTAATGTTGGAGCCGGTTCCAGTTACAGGCAGAAGGACATTTTCAAGTACTCCCAAGCAGCAGACCGCATGGTCTTTTTTTTTTTTTTTATTAAAGATTTTTATTTATTTATTTGACAGAGAGAGACACAGCGAGAGAGGGACTACAAGCAGGGGGAGTGGGAGAGGGAGAAGCAGGCTTCCTGCCGAGCAGGGAGCCCTATGTGGGACTCGATCCCAGGACCCTGGGACCATGACCTGAGCCGAAGGCAGATGCTTAACGACTGAGCCACCCAGGCGCCCTGGACCGCATGCATGGTCTTTGTGATCACAACCAAGAATGAGAGACCAGAGGTCATGTTTTTTAACTTTGTAAAACAATGTCCTAGTGGTTGCTGGCCTCTCTTTTTCTTTTTGTCAAGTAAAATCTCTGTAGTGAACTACATTCTCCTAAGTACACGATCAGGCTTTATTATGGGAGCATTTTATTAAGGGACTTTTGGAACCCTGGGCAGCATCACTTTGACTTTTGAGAGGCCGTGTGGCGCTATGGTTACCAGCATGGCTTCCGGAGACAGCCGGCCTGGATTGGAATCCCCACCTTGAATTAGCTGTGTGGCCTTGGGCAAGCCACTTAACCTCTCTGTGCTTCACTGTATTCATCCGTAACAGGGTTGCTGTGAGGATTAAGTGAGTTTTTGATATGTTTAAGCTATCCGGACAGCATCAGACACGCTGTAAGCACCACGTGAGCGATAGCTGTTACTATTATTATTTTGATTAGTTCATGTTCACTTGGGCAGGAGCTGGGCTGAGATTTATGTTTGCTGTCTGTCCTAAAGGGACTCGCGGGGATTCGGGAAAGGCATTTAACCTGCTCTGAAGAAAAGACAGCAGCAGGAGTCATTGTAAGGATGGGGGATTGGCCATGTCTTTCCAGGTCTCATAAGAAACATAGTTTGTTTTTTTTTTTACATCTGAAGGCTTAATATCTGTTCACCAAGGAGTGACTGAGACTTAAAAGCCTAGACATACCTTAAATCAAACTGTAGATTGTTTTGCATCAGAAGATGATTTTAAGTTCAATTACAAGGTGAGGCTGGGAAGCTACCTTTCAAGAGATGGATGTGCTTCTAGCCAATATGGAGTCAATGACCGCTCCCCTCCTGCAACTAAAATATCTAGAAAACGGAGTTAGTGACCATCCCAGCACTTCTTCAACTTTATTCATATGGATTACCTGGGGGGGAGGGAGGAGGCTTGTTAAAATGCAGACTGATTCAGCCTGTCCTGTGAGGCCTGAGTCTGCATTTATTTATTTATTTTTTAACTAGGCTCTTCGCTGGGTGGGCTTGGACTCGTGACCCTGAGATCAAGACCTGAGTTGAGATCAAGAGTCCGACGCTTAACTGACTGAGCCACCCAGGTGGCCAGCGAGACTGTTTTTTTTTTTTAAAGATTTTATTTATTCGAGAGCCAGAGAGCAGGAGCAGGGTGAGGGGCAGAGGCAGAGGCAAAGGGAGAAGGAGAAGCAGACTCCCCACTGAGCAAGGAGCCTGAGGGGAGGCTCCATCCCAGGACCCTGGGATCCTGACCTGAGCCGAAGGCAGATGCTTAATGACTGAGCCACCCAGGCGCCCTGCGAGTCTGTATTTTTTTTTTTAAGATTTTATTTTATTTATTTGATAGAGACACAGCGAGAGAGGGAACACAAGCAGGGGGAGTGAGAGAGGGAGAAGCAGGCTTCCCGCTGAGCAGGGAGCCCGATGTGGGGCTCTATCCCAGGACCCTGGGATCCTGACCTGAGCCGAAGGCAGACGCTTAACGACTGAACCACCCAGGCACCCCAACAAGTCTGTATTTTTAACCAGCTCCCAGATGATGCCCGTGCTGTTTGTCATATGTGTAATGAATGGCTGTGGGATCCAAGACACAGGAGTTGACTCGTCATGAGGAACAGGTTGATTACGTGCCTAGGGAAGGTGTTCAGGTTCAGCTCTGTGGCTTTTGGCAAATCTTACCTAACTTTTCTGGATTTTAGTTTCCCTTTTGGATATCCCCCCACCCCCCGCTCTGGTTTCACTCCGGCAGGCGCTGGGTGACCCTGTGTCCCTCGTGCATGTCTCTCCACCAAAAAGCAACCTGCCCGCTAATCAGCCTGCGTTGGTTGTGGGTTGGCACATGATTTAGAACCAAGTCTGATTGTTACCTCCTAGGCAGAGAGCTGATGGAGTTTTCCAGCTGTGTAGCAGGCCGTTGGTGCACACACATACTTGTTCCTATACCAGAGCTAGAAAGAGCTTCTCTTTGCATCCAGGAAACTTTAAAGGCAGAATGTCATTTGCAACACTTTATCACCAGTATACAATTTTGTCAGTATTCCTTGCACCTTAGTTGGATTTAAAATATATAGAGAGTGTGTGTGGCTTTCAGGGAAGTAACCTTGATAGCACATCCAAACAGGAGTAGGTTTTTGGCAATCCTAATACTGAACAGTACACTTAGAACATTTTTGCATTGTACCTATTTCTCTATTTCCGGGATAAGTTGAACTCTGTGTTTGGCACATTTTAAGCGGATCTTGCAGACTTTACAGTTGACCCCCCCACGTCTCGGCTCCCCTGCTCCTCTGCCTTTCTGAGTTTGTTCCCATTCACTTTGTGATGTGGGGAGAGCTGGCCCCTCCACGGGAGCCCTCTCTTTCCTTCCCGAGCTCAGAAGAACAGCTTCTCAAAGTAGCATTTAAAAAACTATTAAATCATGAAAACAGGTAGCGCAGGCACACTTTTTTTTTCCCCCCTCTTTTTTTGCCTTTGAGGTATGCCGACAAGTTCATGGGTCTGGCTCAAAAAAGAATGATGAATATTCTCACAGTGGCAGAGGTTGTAAGTGGCACTGTGTGCTCCTGACGAAGGGGACTGGAGAGAACCGGCTCTAGCTGCCCCAGAGAGTGAGCAGAGGGGAAATGCCACCTGCCCAGAAAGGAATCGTCCCTTCCAAAGGCTTCTCTGTTCATTTATTGTATTCCTAAGTCAGCACACTCTGTGATAGGCTTAAAAACTGGGTATTTAAAAAACTGTTCCCTTTGGGGTGAGGGTGGGGGGTAAGGATGGATCTGACACTTCTCTCCATATGTCTTTTTCTTTTCAGTTTTGAAAGATGTAAATGTTTACATATTTACAATATCAAGTTACACCAGAAAAGGAAAAAAACCTCAAATCTTAAAATCAAAAACAAACAGAAACAAATGAA